TATATATATATATATATAATAATAATATATATATAATATATATATATATATATATATATATATATATATATATATATATATATATATATATATATATTTCATATGATTTATTAATTATTAGTAATACTTACAAATATAACAAATTATTTACTGTGAAATAAAAAGAATGTTTTACTTTCCATTTTTCCATTTTTGTTTTTGTTTTTTTTTTTAAAGCATTAAATGTCATTCAAATAATTTTATCAAAATACGAAATGCAGTAAAATATCTATACATATATATGCGTGCATGCATACATACATGCATAATGCATACGTATGTACATGCACATGCATGCAGCAAACATAATAGTTATGTTTCATTTATAATTTCAAGACTTTTTTTGTTAATTTTATTAATAGTAAAATTTCCTTCATAGGAAATCATTTCATTTCAGGTTAATTTGGTATTTCAATTTTCCTTCTCTTCACATTACACATTCACTTTCCCATTAACATTTCTAAAATAAACCGAAAAATAGAAATTTTAAAATTTCCCACTCATTATTGATATTACATTAATTTAGATCCTCAATTAATTCATTAATTCTTTCTATACTATTTTCTATTGAATGTTTCATCGATAATTAACAACACCATGGTAGCCATTTTAAGTTTAAATTTAGGTTTTGTATTTGATTTTTTTTTTTTGAAAAAAGAAAAAACTTCGAATTGTTCTATTGTACAACAATTAAATTTTTTGATATTTTTTTGTTTTTTTTAATTGTTTTTGATTTTTATATTTAATTAGCATTTATTTCATTTAACTTTTCTTTCTTTCCCTTTTTTTTTTCTCAAATTAAAAATTTGAAAAGTAAAATAGAATCCACTCATTCATACTATTTCTTTGTTATGATTACAGTATACCACCTATAACGTCTGTAATTAATTACTTAAATTTGAATTTTTCATAAATTTAATTTTGCAGAATACAATTTGAAATTATCTTTATTGGAAGAAAACAAAATAAAGAAGGAAAGAAAAAGAGAAAGGCGAAGGAGAAAAAGGAAAAGGATAGAAATACGTCGAAAATAGTAAAAGAATTGGGAAAAAAAAAACATTCATTAATTGAAAGTATCAGATGTCTATAGCAATTGGTATGAATAGCAATAAATATTTGCTAATTACTTGTTTTTAGCAATTAAAAAAATAAACAAATAGGTAAACGGATTGATAGACAGGTAGATAAACAGATAGATAGATAGATAGATAGATAGATAGATAGATAGATAGATAAATAGATAGATAGATAGATAGATAGATAGATAGATAGACGGATAGATTAATTGATTGATAGATGAAATGAGAAGAAAAAATAAAATTAATTGGAAAATTTAAAAAAAGAAAAACCATAAAATTATCAAAAAACATAATTTAATTTTCACTTTTTTTTTTTTGAAAAACGCCACTTTTTATTTTTTATTTTTTTTAAATATGATTTAATTTTCATATTTATTATGGCTATTATTGTTTCTCAAATTAGCATCAGCTAACGAACATGAAGTGAATGGAAATTGGCGAGATTTTTATGAAATTGCATCTCATAATGATGAAACACCTGGACGTTTTCAAGTATAAAATTGAATTTCAAAATTTATTTATTTCTTTTTATCTTGTGAAATTTTTGAAAATTTAAAAAATCTTTTTATCTCGGAAAAAATAAGTTGCATATCAATGAATCAATTGAAAATATACCATTTAATTTAAAATTTTGCTTATTAAATTAATTGTTTGGAAAGGAAAAAAGGAAGTTGAAAAAAATATGGCAAATTAATTCAATTAAAATTTTTTAATTTTAAATTAATTTAATTAAATTTTAATCTCTTCTTTTTTTTAAAAAAAAAATGAATTTTTGCATTTTCAAGGTGATCTCATTCAATTGGGAAGAGGTCCAAAAACCATATACTATTGCAATATGGTTATTACTTGCTGGTATTGCTAAAATGGGTTTGTTTATTTGTTTATTCTTCCATTAATTAAAATTTCTTTCATTAAAATAATTAACATAAGAGAGAGAGGGTGAGAGAGAGAGAGAGATAGGACGAAATTTTTTTTTCTTTATAATTTCAAATTCAATTAAGTTTCTTTTTTTACACCTAATTTTCTCATTTTTTTTTTCAATAAATTAATGTAACATTTAATGTATGCCGTCGTATTTGTCGCCCATTTTCTTACAAAG